ATGTAAGTTAAGACGAAGCATTAAGCACTTTATTGATAGGAACTGCTATTACATTTAGCTTAAAAAGGCCCTCATTCAGGTAACATTTTCCTACATACATATCATTCTTACTTAGTACAACACTATTGGAAACAAAAATACATTTGAATCCATTCTTGACAAGAAGTGAGATAGACACAAGATTCTTGCGAATTTCTGGAACATGGAGAACTTGGTTTAGAGTCACTATTTTTCCCGACGTCATCTTCAATGCAATCTTGCCAACTCCTTCAATTTTGGCTGTAGACGAACTTCCCATAAAAATTGTCTCGTCGGGTCCTGAGGGGGCATAAGAAGAAAATAACTCCTTGTTAGCACAAACATGGCGGGTGGCTCCAGAATCTATCCACCATTCTTTAGGATTTCCTACCAAGTTGCATTCAGACAACATGGCACACAAGTCCTCCATTTCTTCAGCATTTTCAACCATGTTAGCTTGATTCTTCTTCTTCTTATCATTCTTTGGTGCACGACAATCCACGGCCTTATGCCCAGATTTTCCACAGTTGTGGCAATTGCCCTTGAACTTTTTCTTGCTTGGGTAATTTTTTGGTCCAGAAGCCTTCTTTCTCTTCTTATTTTGTGGCGCCTCCTAAACAATATTAGCCCTTATTATTGTCGAGTTTCCACGTGACTTCTTTTCAGCATTTTTGTTGTCTTCTTCTATCCTCAAACGAATAATCAAGTCTTCTAGTGTCATTTCCTTCCGCTTGTGTTTAAGATAGTTCTTAAAGTCCTTCCACAACGGAGGTAACTTCTCAATGAAAGCGGCGACTTGAAAGGCCTCATTAATGACCATACCTTCAGCAATAAATTCATAATTAATAACAAGATAAATCTTATTAATAAATTTATTGATTCGGGTCATACCTTCAGCAAGGAGGTCATGCACAATAACTTGTAATTCTTGGACTTGATTTATGACCGACCTAGTGTCAATCATCTTGAAATCCAAAAACCTTGCAGCCACGAACTTCTTAAGTCCGGCATCCTCAGTCTTGTACTTTTTCTCAAGCGCATTCCATAACGCTTTTGATGTTTCCATGACACTATAGACATTGTACAGGCTATCTTCCAAACAACTCAAGATGTCGTTCTTGCACAAGAAATCAGAATGTTTCCATGCTTCAGTTACAACACATCGTTCGTTATCTGGAGTGTTTTCAGCCAGGACCAGAGGATCCTCCTTGATGAATCGCTGCAAACTCAACGTAGTAATATAGAAGAGCATCTTCATTTGCCAGCGTTTGAAGTCGATACCGAAAAATTTTTCGGGTTTTTCTGCTGGTGCCATAGCATGAGTAGGAGTTGAACGGCTTGACGAGGAAACCACATTTGTAATAGTAGCACCTGTTCCCGCAACATTTCCATTAGTTTGGTTTTCATTCGTCATTTTTCTGTAAAGTTGGAAATAAAACAGAACTTGGTTAAATCAGTGAAGTTTTGATATCTTCAAACTCAATACCAAACCAAACATACAACACGTAACAATGGTGAAGTTTTTATATACTTCAAACCCGTACGTTTATTATTCCGGTAAAGTTTTGATATACTTTAAACCGGACAGAACAATTATTGGAGTAGAAAGCACGAAAGCTTTAATCTCTAAAACAATATACAAATATAGATAACAGTTTTAATATATATTTCAACACAGAAACGTTAGTATAAAATAAAATTCCTTAAGCTTGTTCTACGCTACTGTGTTAAAACACAAAATCAGAAAATTGTTAGAAGAATAAAAGAAACTGGAAAAACAGTAAAGAATAAGAAATATTCCGAGTCCACAATTTGCTTGTGTGTCCTTAAGAAATTTTAACCCCCTCACAAATTGCCAAGGTAATGGATTAAATCCTCCCAGGATGAAACGGAATAAACCTTCCTGCAACAGTGGCAATACAAACTGCAGGATACCAACGAACTCAAAGAACGGAGCAAAATCACACTTACGAATTTGAGAAAGACAGACTGCGAATTCGAATGCAGTATTTTTTCAGAAAGAAGGAAGTTCTGTAGTATTTTTGGTGTGTTTTTGTATATTAAAAACGAAGCCATGTCTCAGAATTTATAGGCAATTATTGGAAGAGGTGTGATGTCTGTTCTGGAAAAGGTGTCTGTTCAGATTTTACGCGTCCTGCCGCGGTCCTACCGCGGTTACGCCAGGACCGCGGCCAGAGTGGTCCTCTGAATCTGCAGAAGTGTTCTGGCGCGGTCCTACCGCGGTTACGCCAGGACCGCGGCCGGACTATCCTTTTGAATCTTCAGCAGTGATCTGACATTTAATTAATTATTAAATAATTAATTAAATAAATTTTGTCCAAAAATAATCTTATCGATCGATTTGACAAATTCAAATCCAAATCCAAATCCAAAGCCAAAGCCCAAAGCCGAAGCCGAGCCGAGCGACGACGACATTCTCTTCAACTCCTTTTAAGAGCTTTAAGAAGTGATTCTATATATAAGCACACAAATGTAGTTGTCCCTCACCAATGAGGGACAAAGTGCAAATCAAAAGCTCACTTCATTCAAATTTTCATTTCCCTCCATTTTATTTCCCACCATTTTCAATTCACACTCTTAGACGTTAAAGCCCTAATGCTTAAAGTCTTTGAAGCCCAATGCCTTTAAAATCCAACAGATCCTACACCTATTAGTAGGTGATGTAGCATTAATTTGATTCTACAACTATTAATATACTTGAGGGTGGTATATTTATAGTAGACTTCAAACTTCATATATAGTAGTAAAACTAAATGCAAGGAATTAACGTTACATAGTTGAAATAGGTTAAAATATTTATATAAGATAAAATTTTAATGGTTCTTAAAGTCTTATATATAAGGACTTCAAATAAGGAATAATAAATAATAAAAGTTTAGTTGATTTCATTATCATAAAAATTAGGGAAATAATTCAATTATAATGTTGTGCAATATAAAATCTACTTTTAAGAGGTATTAAAAGACGAACGATATTTCGCTAAAGGACTTCGTGATACATATATAGTCTTTTGTATTTAGTTGGGTGTGTGTCCATTCTTTCGGTGGAGATTATTTTATTTATCCGTACCATAGTATTTGCTTATCCTTGTAGGGTTTGAATAAGCAGGATTTTTTTGGTAACAACTGTGAATATTACCATTGATAACAACAATTAAACAATAGACCTATAAAGCACCTAACTCCTCATTCACAGTAGAATTAGGTATTGGATTGACTAGTTACAAAGTAATCTTTGAGTAAAAATCCTACATCTTTGTGCTCTCTTTAAGTGTGAAAACAGATCTATCCTCTCAACTATATCCTTCTTGACTTGTGTAACTATCAACTCTGTTTTTCGATTAATTCTTCAAACAGTTTCCTATTTCTACCTCTCCAAATATGATATATCATAGCTTCCCATAATGCAGCTGCCACCTCCTTTTTGAATCTTTTCCAATGCTTTCTGTTAATTTCTTCTAGTCCTTGCTGCACCTCTCCAACTTGCACGTGCAATCCCAACCAATTTAGAAGACCCTTCCTAATGTCTTGGGTTCTAGTACAGTCAACAAACAGGTGTTGAACTGTCTCATTTTCCTGGGCATCACATAAACAGCAGCTAGAATCCTCTACATGAATATCTAGTTTTTGAGATCTCTCCTTTGTGAGTAATCTTTCTTGAACAGCTAGCCATGTGATAAATCTATGTTTTGGTTGTGCTATTTCATTCCAAATGAGATTAGTGTTTTCTAGTCGATTCTGGCTTCCAATGATAGCATTGTAACTACTTGTAATAGAGTAGGTACCATTAGAAGTCAGTTTATATCTCCCCTGATCATACTATTCCTTCATGTCTTTTTTCAAGGAGTTAAGTTTTCTCCAATACTAGCTACAGTCTTGAGGGGCTTTGTGTGTCTATATGTTTGCATCAGTTTTTATATATATGCCATGAATCCATTTTCCCAAAGTGAAGCTTTATTCTCCACCAATTGCCATATTAGATTTCCAATTGATGCTATATTCAAGTTCCTACACCCTCTTATGTTTAAGCTTCCATATTCCTTTGGCCAGCATAATTTTTCCCAGGAAATAAGTGATATTTTCCTTTTTTCCTCTGAACTACCCCAAAGGTAGTCCCTGCACTTTTTGTCTACTTCCTTCAGAACACTCTGTGGCAATATAAAGATGGAGCCCCAGAAGCTGTGGATTGAGAATTACACTGCATTAACCACCTGAAGTCTCCCTGCGTATGAAAGCTGTTTGGAGTATGTGTAGGTGATTCGACTGATTATTTTCTCTATCAATTGATAGCACTTCATTTTACTCCATTTCTTTGGGGATAGTGGCAGGCCAAGGTATCTAATGGGAAAAGACCCCTGCGAGAACCTTATTATTGCAAGTAGTTGTTCATTTAGCTGGTCATCAACACCAGCCATAAAGATATTGGATTTCTCCATGTTAATAACTAGACTAGAGACTTTGCTGAAATGTGTCAGTGCTTCTATTACCCTTTTCACTAATCCTACATCACCTTTACAAAAGATTATTAGGTCATCGGCAAAGATCAAGTGAGTTAATTTGAGTTGCTTACACATGGGATGGTATTTGAAATCTGGTAAGTCACTCATGCTTTTAAGAATTCTAGATAGGTATTCCATGACTAGGACAAATAGTATAGGGAATATAGGGTCCCCTTACCTTAGTCCTCTTTTATTCTCAAAGTAACCATTGCTTGATCCATAGACATTCACTAAAAATTTAGGGAAATTCATACAGGCCATGATCAAATGTATGAATCTTCCTGGGAAGCCAAATCCTATCAGCTCTTCATGTAGGAATTCCCAACCCACCATATCGTAGGCCTTCCTTAAGTCTATTTTCATCTAGCATCTTGGGGAGGTTCTCTTGTTATAATGCCTCAGTATATCATGGCAAATGAGGATATTGTGCAGCATGGATCTTCCTTGCATAAAAGCAGACTGATTATCAGCTACTATATATTGTATAACACTCTGTAGCTTATTGTATATCATCTTGGAGATGCTTTTGTATAACACATTGCAACAAGCTATTGGCTTAAGCTGATTAGCATACTCAGGTACGCTCACTTTTAGAATTAAAGCAATGTTTGTAGCATTCAGTTGCTTTAACAGTTTGCCCGTTCTAAAGAATTCCATTATTGCTCATATGATGTCTTTCCCTATAATACTCCAAGCAGCCTTAAAGAATCCACTGCCATATCCATCTGACCATGGGCTCTTGTTGCTATCTATTAAGAATATTGCTTTCTTGACATCCTTATCCTCAAAAGGCTTGAGTAAGTTAACCTGAATCTCAGATGTCAGAATTGGACCATTACATAAAATGCCTTGTAGTGCTACTTATCTTGAAGTTGCTTTCTTACCTAGTAGGTCTGATAATAGTCTACAAATAGTTGAGCTATGGCTTATGGATCTAACTGCCATTCTCCATTTGCATCTTTCAACTGTGTGGTGGCCTGTTTAAGTTTTTTTATGTTTAATAATTGAGTGGAAGTACCTAGTGTTTTCATCTCCCAGTTTTATCCAAGTAGCTTTGTTCTTCTGCTGTAGGTACATTTCTGCAAGATAGGATGAGTGTCTGAACTTCTGATACTTCTCTTTTTCTATTAATTGCCACTCTGAATTCAGTGGATCTGTCTGCAGAAGGCTTTGTGCATGTTTTAGTGCTGCTCTATCCTCATTAGCCTCTCTTTCATTATTCCTGAAGTACTGTCTGTTTAGGCTCTTCAACTCTTTTTTCAACATCTTTAATTTCCTTACCACCTGGAACATCTGGCAGCCATCAATATTAGTTTCCCAACAACCCTCCACCTTATCATTGAACAGAGGATGTTGGCCCCATACATTACAATATTTGAATGATTTCCTGACTTTATGTTTTTTTTCTTGGAGTGCTATTTTCATAGGGATAGGATCACTGATGCCTTCTAAGAGGAATTTGGCCTTACTTGGAGGCATTACATCAAGCCATTCCCTATTAATGAATACCCAATCAATCTAGGAGTAGATCCTTTTTTCATGTCTGTCATTCCAGGTGTATCTACATCCTTGATATGGCAATTCAACAAGCCCACATGTTTCAATACAGTTCTGGAAATCCATAACTTCATTAATAAGCAGGATTTGCTATATGTGAATATATATATATATATATATATATATATATATATGTGTGTGTGTGTGTGTGTGTGTGTGTGTGTGTGTGTGTGTGTGTGTGTGTGAGAACATATACATAAAACATCCAGTATACTTACAAGCTCATTGTCAGGGGGCAGACGACGGGAAACTCGTAACCCATTGTATTGCAATGGCTTCTTAAATTTTCCTTGATTACAGTTATGTTATTTTAGCGCTTTAGATATTAAGAGTTTGAAGGCCCATTTTCATTGTTGGTTATCAGCAAAAATAAAGTATTTCTACCGTTTATTAAGTATCTTAGTTTGACTTGATATTAAGTTTAAAATGGTAGAGAACATTTTTGAATCTTGGAGTACTAAGCTAAAGGTATATATAATATGCTCCAGATAAATTTTGTGGTCTTAGAGGGTGTCATTAAGGATAAATTAGAAATATTGGAACTAAAGAAGTACTAAATATGAAAACGAATAGATATCATTTCTTAAATTGACTAAGAAAGAAAGACACATAAATTGAAGCGAATAAAATATTAGTTATATGAATATTATGTAAGTTATACTGTATTTTATTTTTAGGATCAAATACTGCATAAGTAATGCAAATTGTGATACGAAAATTATTTTTGTTTTGTCGACGAAGATTAAAATTTTATACTTGAAGCAAAATGACCCTAAATGGAAAAGAGTAGCGGAAACTGTATGGGTCAAAATCTGACCGCAATGGTCGACCAAGCTGGGACCCCGCCTAAGTGGCGAAATGACGAGAAGTACCACGACCAACCTCAGTCCAATGATCGACAGTGTATGTCAAGTAAAAATGATACTCAAATAACGACGAAAAGACCGTCACGTGAAGAACACGTTGGTCAAAGGACACAGTAAAGCTTCGAGAACTATATATAGAAGGGGGATTCCCGGAAAAGGGGGCGAAACTTTTCCTCTCTACTCTTTCTCTTGCAATTTTCTCCCCTGAAGGATGTAAACTGATTTTTCTTTCTATCTCACCAAAGATGAGATATTTAACATCAATAAATATTGATTGTTCTTACTTTTCACTCATTGAATTTCTATACATTTTTAGATCTGGAGTTGATTATGCTTGACTAAGATTTACCCCTTCATTATCATTAGTTAATTTAATCAAAAAGGTTTTAGCATCTTTTGGTCAAACAATTTGGCGCCGTCTGTGGGGATTTCTTAGCCAAATCTCCTAGTTCCTTCAGATCCAAAACCGGTGAAACATAATTACCCACCAGAAAGAGCGGTAAGTAAACCTCACATGCTAATCTAGACCATGATGCTACATAGAAGTAGAAGTTACAACCAATATCCACGTAAAGCTTGCAAAAGAAGAAGACGCCTGTTGCGCAAAACCCATAAGAGAATGGGCACATCTTACGGGATGACCCACACACCGGATGACCCACGAACGAGCTAAGGCAATCCCAACCCACGCAGAGCCAGGGCATGTCTAAAAAAAGGGAGGAAGAAAAGAAGGCCGAACACGGCTGCCGAATCCACAAACCACCATTCCATCAACCACTTAAGCGCCAGGCAGAGCGAACAACGCTATAAGGCCACCCTCGTTCATCGACTCATCGGATCAAGGTAAGGAAAATCTCATCTTGGTTTACCTTCTATTGTTTGCTTAAACAGGAACACAAGCGCCATATGGGCAAGCGAGCGAAGAAGCATTCCAACTGGGGAGTGAAAGAGCTATTACAAAATAACTTGAATATCGCCCATCTCAAACATTTCAACTTCTAGAAAATGATGTCCCTTAAGTCGTACTCCTTCTCCTTACCCAGATGTTGTCCCGATTGGGTTCTCTCGGGGAAGTTTAGAACGAGGCAATGAGGGATGTCACCAAGTTCAAAGGACAGCTCATCGCCCCACCTATCGGCGAGCTCCCCAGGCCGAACGATGAAGGGGTTAAACAGGGAAATTCCAATATATGCATAAAACGAACATTAGCAAGGTAGCAATGTTCAATACTCTCTGGCGTCACACTCTTCAATACAAACAAAGTTAAGCAAATTGGGACTCGCCCAGGAAACACACAAGTTCAGCGAACTGGGACTCACCCAGGAAACACACAAGTTAAGCAAAACCGGGACTCCCCCAGAGGACACCCAATACTCTCCAAAAAACTAGGACTTACGACGGGTTAACATTTCGACGACTCGAAATAACTTCCCTACGGCCAAGGGCCTTCGCCAAGATAAAGAGTTCGACCTCAATCGAACCACGATGGGTAAACATTTCGGCAAGCTCGAAATAACACCCTTACGTCCAAGGGCCATCGCCAAAAAAAAAAAAAGAAAAATTCAACCTTGCTCGAACAACGATGGGTCAACATTTTAACGTCAGCTTAAAATAATACCCCCACGGCCAAGGGCCATCGCCAAAAAAGAAGAGTCAACCTTTCTCGAACTATAATGGATTAACATTTCGACCAGCTCGAAATAACACCCCTACGGCCAAGGGCCATCGCCAAAAAAGAAAAGAGTTCGACATTGCTCAAACTACGACGGGTTAACATTTCGATGACAGCTCGAAATAACTCCCCTACGGCCAAGGGCCATCGCCAAGATAAAGAGTTCGACCTCAATCGAACCACGATGGGTAAACATTTCTACAAGCTCGAAGTAACACCCCTACGGCCAAGGGCCATCGCCAAAAAAAGAAGAGAAGAATTCGACCTCGCTCGAATAACAATGAGCTAACATTTTAACGTCAGCTTAAAATAATACCCCTGCGGCCAAGGTCCATCGCCAAAAAAGAAGAGTCGACCTCGCTCGAACTATAATGGATTAACATTTCGACCAGCTCGAAATAACACCCCTACGGCCAAGAGCCATCGCCAAAATAAAAGAGTTCGACCTCGCTCGAATCACAACGAGTTAACATTTCGATGCTAGTTCGAAGCACCATCCCTACGGCAAAGGTCCATTGCAAAAGGAAAAAGTTCGAACTCATCCGAGCCCACTAATGCCTTTGCAGCTATCGGATGTCGTCGTGATTTTTTTCCTTCTACTCATTAAAAAATTGATTTCGCTACGAACTCCAAGTTCGACCTCTTTCGGATGTGTCAAAAAAAGAGGGGGAGCGACTCCGCCTGAATCAATGACAGTTGGATCCCACACGAACGACTCAAGTCGAGACTAACTTCTTCCAAAACAACAAAATTATGTAAACTCATTTGAGCCAAAGACGAATCTGCTTAAAGCAATAAGTCACCAGTCGAGTCCGCCCCAAATAGGCGAATTGAATGAGACTCCATCCGGACTCACGATGAAGTCCCACTCAGTCCGGTCAAAATTGGTTTCCCTGAAAAAATCAGGAATCCACTATACGAAGATCCGACAATACGCCAAAGATATGTAAAGCAAAAGAGGGAGAGATACAAAGGATTTCCAACGATGAAAACTCCTTTATTTAAACATTTGCGCAAATGGCCGCAGATTATACACGGCTAATACCGGTCCAGTACAGAATAAAAAAAGAAGAAGGCAACAACGATAACAACGATAAACAAGACAAGCCAACAAAGATAACAACTTTTTTACTCGGCGCCATCACCGCCGTCCTCCTCATCGACATCTCCACGAAATTCTCCCTCAGCATCAACATCTTCACCGGCCTCCGGTGTCGCAGGATCATAACCACAGTTAACACGAGCCTCTCGTGCCTTCGTCCGAGCTCCTTCATAAGCGGCGTCGGAAATATTGCCCGCTTCCCACAAACTCTTATATATGTCCCGCTGGGCTGCAGCATGAACCCAGAGTTCGTGCAAATGGCGAGGAACAGCGACAGAGGCGGATTCAACTTGGGCAAACAATTGTGCCTTTTCGGCCTCAAGAACAGCGACCCGATCTTCCAAAGTTGAAGCTTCCCGGTCAATGTCGCCAATACGCTCTTCGAGCCTCGCCTCCCTAAGCGTAGTCGTCGCCCTCTCAGACTCCTACTCGGATTGAAGGACACAGATAGCGTCCTCTACAGCCACCGCTCTGGCCGAAGCCGACGCCCAGGCACTCTCGACACTCTCAAACTCGGAGACCTTTCTCTCCAGTTCGGTTAGCTTCCCCATCCACTCCGCACTCATCGCCTCGACTCTGGTGATATTGAGATCCAGCTCGGACTGCAACGACCTAATCTTTGCCTGAAGATGCTCACACTCTGCAGCGACCCCTTTTTCCAACTCAAGTTCTTTGTCCTTCACACGAAGTTGCTCCTCGAGCTCGCTACTCCTGCAAATAGCCTGAACCAACTCCTGATCCTTCTTCTCCAGTTCCTCGCCGAGAGATTGATTATCGGCGTTCGCCCTTAACCACTCGTGCATCTCGCGACACTTGTTCCGGTAGACCCGATACTTCTCCAACATCGTCAGAAAATTTTTGGCCCGAGTGTCGGCCCTACGAGCACTTTCAATCTCCACCATGTACATCTGAAAGTCGAAAAGATTGGTTAAGGCCAAGGTCGTCAAAGATGAAAAGAACATAAAAGAAAGGAGAAACTTACCCTCTGGCCCATAGCGGCCACTTCATGCATCAAATCAACATCACGGATGTCCCGGAGAGCCTCACTCTCAGCGGCAGAGCACAAAAG